GTTCAAGATTTTGCAATCTGCAACCAAATTACCATAATTCATATATTTATTATATTTAACTCACATGTAATTACAATTCAATATAATTGCTACTTCAGACTCTACTGTTTGAATCCATTTTCCCACAAATGAAAGCGATGATGGCACTCACTGCTCCTCCTGCTCCAAGCTGTGCAACATTTGGAAGCCCGGTTCAAGAGACGGCTGCAACTCATCTGCTGAGTAGCCATCACCCAGTGCTGGGAAATGAATCTCTGGAATGTCTTCTTCACTTACAGTCTCACTGGGCCCACACCTGAGAAACAATAAGACTGTACATTAAATAAAAGTTGCTTAGTGAAATTATATGCTGTGTCGTCTGGTACAAATTGACAGTGGCTCTGATGATGGTGGTAGTAATCATCTCTGAAATGTTGATCAATTTCTACAAAACATGACGCAACATCCCAGAAGACAGTTATCTTGAAAACAGCTTAGTCAGTAAAGTGACTTGCTATGGCCTGGACTTCAATCCACAGCAAGTGAAGAGACTTCTTTTTGCCAGCATGCCAAAACCAGCTCTAGCCATCACACTGCCTCATTTCCCAGGAATAACTCTGTCTAATGCTGAAGATATGAACCAGTGGAGTGTAGCCTCCACTCTCCCAAACATCTTCATGGTGTGGTGTTTAAGCACAGGGACAACATCGCTGTCATTCTTACTTTTTATTTGAAGTGTGAAAAAGAGCAAGTACTTATTTTTGTAACACAACTGCTTAACTCTATACAATCCTATACAGACTACATATAAAATCCATCCTGCATATTATGCAGAAATCTGTGTTTATTTATATTATGTGAAAGTCCCATGCAAATAAACTCCGTTGTATTCATAAGCAATTTCATATGCATTACTATTTTAAACTAGAGACATCAAATATGGCTATTATCATCTCACAAAAAAAGGCTGACTGCCTGCCTTTCTTGTTTCAGATTCTGTAAATAAAAACTGGCTAAGAAAATTTAAATAATGAATGATGTAGGAAGGTGCACCTGTAGCCTTAATGATGTGGCTGGCCATCAGTGTCCAGAAATTAATACTATGTGAAGCTGAATATTACTCACTGACAACTGAAATAAGCATACCTAATCTCACTGTCACTTGTAGGTCTTAGAACTGGCAATGCAAGACTAGCATATTCATCCTGAAGACTGTTACATTTATTTATCATCATCTCATGATACTTTAGCACTCTTGTCTGATAAAACCCATGTAGAGTTTTTACACTACCCACGCCCATCTCATAAAATACACGTTCCATGGAATCCTGCAAGTACACAGTATATTAATACCACATTTTACAAACAATATTAAATAAATCACAAATAACAAACAAGGAAATGAATATAAAAGTAGCAACTGTAAAATCTGTTCAACAATCAATTAAATATTTCAATTATATTATAAAAAATCACTCACTGTAACTGCCTATTGCTTTAAGAAGGTACATCAAAAGTTTAGAATCCCAAACCTTTACGTGTGTTAGATGCGACACAACTGCATATAATTATCAAGTTTCTTGATTTTAATTTGAGCGGTGAGCTTCCATTCTAGCTCTGTTTCTTTTCACTTAACACACATGACAACACAATCTTCATATCATTAGTGTATCCAGTTTCTACAGATTTATGCCAAAACTCTTTGGAAACAATGCTGTATTTGAAAACCACAATAACTTTACCCAAAGCCATGTTGCAAGACAAACTATCAAATTTGACATCGTAACATGCAATTCAGAAAGATAAGAATTAACAGATCCAAAATTATGTGCTTATTATACTTACTGGAAAACCTGTAGAACCAGATATGTTCTCCTGGTCTACTGCAACCCGAAGCAGACGAGTAAACTTTTGGATATATTCCTCACTCACATCTGTCAATGTGTCCAAAACACACTGAGAAGTATCTGTTAAACACAAAACTCACATACCTATACTTGTAATAACTTAAAATCTAAAAAAATCAGTCAAGAACATAGGCTGAGACTACATAGTACCATTGAGACAAATTTCATACTATTGTCACAGCTGGGCTTACATAATTTTTATTTGTATGCATGTTTTAAGCCATTTGCTAAATAATATTTTATTATACTGAAGAAACATAATTTTTTTTCCCGACACATTTTTTGGTTCCCTAAAGTTTTGCGCTTGTTAGCACAGTAATTAACCTTTGGGTTCTGTGAAAGACAGGAAATGTTTCTACTAGCTGAGCAAAGAACTCTTCATTTTGAAAAGCTATAGCTTTAATACCAATACATAATTTTTAAAATGTGACAATTCATGTGAATGACAATTTTACGCTCACTTCGAAATAAAAGTGATACAAACTTAATCAACTTACTATCATATCCTATATGAGCCAAAATTGTTGCAACTGATTTTCGTAAGATCTTCTTCACAGTGTTCGCGTTTAGTCTAGGTGTTGGTGATCCCTGCCCTTCAGCAAACATGCTGAAACAATATTTGTAATATTGTAATGCACTGCTTTTCACTACAAACACATAGCATTAGCAGGGGTACCAAACAATTTTCAGTCTCTTACCTAGATTTCTTCTCCATATACCTAAAAGGGTAATTATATTCACATTTCCGAATTCTTTCTGGCATCTCTGGGATTGGAGGTGCTGGAGGAAGAGTTTCTGTTACGTCAAAGTCATTTTCATTCTGCAAATTAACAGAACAATATTACCTACAATCTACATTCAAAAATATGTAATAAGATTGTTTGGTGCTACAATAAATGTCATGTATTCAGTAAGAAAACCTCTATCAACAACAAATAAACACCAAAACCAATGTGGTTTCACAAAGAATATGCATGGATTATATAATATACATGTTACTTTATTCAATGATGATTTCGACCATTCAGATTATACCTCATCGAATAATAATATGACTAGTGAATAATGAAATGGTAGAAGGATATAATCCTAGCACAGCCTTGAAGAACTGAGGAAAATCAGGATTGTTGGTCTCTGAGTTGAGATTTCAAGCCAGGACCTCCCAAATATGATGCAGGAGTGCCAACAATTTAACCACAATGTTCAGAAATACAAGTGGAAAAATATGATCATGGAGTACAATTTATACCACTCTTCTTTGTAATCAATCTGACTGTAGTTTGTACTGAATATCATTTTGAACCATTATATTACCACAGATTTGAGTCCAAATCAATGATGTTTCTGCTTGACAATTTCAAATTAATTCTCTTTCTCGCTACCAATTACCTTGTAATTATCTCCTGGTAGCATGGAGCATGGAGCTCAGCTAATTCAATATCAGGCCAGCTATTAAATCTCACAAATACCTACACCTGAGATGCAGCCATTAAATAACAAAATTCATCCATTAATATTCTACAATTCATAAAACATCTTACTTAATGTAAAAACTTACATTTTGTTCTGCTTGTTGATGAGCCAATATCATCAAACTTTGTACTTTCTTAGAATGTTGCAAGAGTTGAATTGTATGTAACACAACATTGTCTGGGCAAATGCATTCCAATGGAACCCTAGTAAAGAAAAATATTAAATAATAGACATTCAAATATTATTTAAACTCTCCAGTGCACAGCTTTGGAACAAATGTGGCAAAGAATTACATCTACTGACAACAAACACATTTCTAAATGCCATATAACAATTTCTGGGGCCCACCCAGCCTCATATCCAATGGATACCGGGGTCCTTTCCTGGGGGTAAAGCATGGCTGGGGCGTGATGCTGACCACTCACCCCCATCTAGTGCCGCGGCCAAGAATAAGTAGGAGCTATACCTCCTCTGCTCCCAAGTGCCTACATGGCGTATAGTGGGATAGCTTTACTATTTCATTTTACTTTTTATGTAACTTTCCAGGTATACTAACCTTGAATTTAAAAAAGTTTAAGCCAACACTAAAAAACTATTTCCTGTCTCACTCGTTCTACTCCACTGAAGAATTTACGTCAAACAAAAATTCTCATCTATTATAATAAATACATGTATGCATTGCTTATACACAATGTGCATTATTATATCAATAGTGCATTATAGTCACATTTTGGAAGACAAATTAGAAATTATTAAATATTTTCAGTAAGCTTGGCCTGAAATATTAATGTCCCATAATGTTACAATTATAATGCTAAATTTCATTAGAAGATATCTCTTTAAAAATAATTAGTGTAATGAAGCCTACAATTGAGTGATGGTATCCTCATCATATTAACATTTTCACAGCAGCTAACCTCAGAAGTTAAATAGTAATATCCATGCCCATATGAGTCATGGACAATTTGCACTGCTTATTATGAAATGATAATGTATGTATCCTTTTTATGTTATATATTTTGAAAAAAAAATTATTGCACAGTCCATTCGAAGTGGTCTTTGTGGACTATTAAAAAATATTGTCCACTTACTCAGACAAGTCATCATCTTGCTTACATGGCTGATGAAGCATAAGTGGATCTGGTTTTGCAGCCTTAAGAATAAGAAAATTTCTCAGTTCTACTGGTATGACTTCTACTCCAACATTCTGTGACTCAGGCATCTCTCCCCAGTGGACTGTCACATGTTCCATTCTATAATTCACAAATATCATGTCTGAACCACTCAAGTTAGTGACACATTAAATTAGTAACATTGAAAGAATATCAGTGTTGGCCTTCTGGGTTTTAACATCATGTGGGCTTGCAGGCAGACACTGCTTATAGTATGTGACATAGCTAAGGTAGTTAGGCACCACTTCCTCACTGAGGAGACCCGAGTTCATTTCCAGGTCAGTAAATGTGGGCTTAGTGGCAGACAAAGAGGTAGTAGGACAGGCTTCCTCCAAGTTCTTTTGTTTTCCCCTGTCAATATCATTCCATCACTGCTACATATTCATTCATGATTAATTGTGTGGATGGGCAAGCCCAGTAGCAGCTGAGATCCACAGAAACATGGCCTCAGTCCATCAAAACAATAAAAAATAAATTGACAAACATATTGCCTCTATCTTCAACCCCGCTCTGTTTCTGGACTCGAATGAAAAGGTGAGGGCTACCTACTCAGATGGACTCCTTGGAAAGAGCTAGCCTCAATTACTGGATGGAAAAAAATTCAGTTTCTGAAATATTGTCTTTTATAACACCAGGCACTGGACAAAGTCCAGTAATCCACAAATATTAATAGTAGTACACTTGCCAGCACCCTTTATAACTAATATGGTGCACTTACTTTCAGTAAACTGAGGTCTACATCATGCCAGTCTATTACATATACTAACCATTTCTTTGCCTAGATATACAATAATTGGCAATGGCAATTACATAATCAACTACTGTGAAATTACAAATCTCTCACTCAAATTCATGTGAATAACACAATTAATACATGGACACCTTTTCTTCAAAGAATACGAGGAAACTTTGCTGTCTAATTTCTCCTGTCCTAAAAGTTTAGTTTTTCTATTCGTTAAAATAATTTTCAAATCTAACCTTCACTTACAGTACAAACCAGAAGTAACATAACCTAAATCAATTCCTATAAAAGCATTCTGAGGGGAGGTATTTTAGTACATGCAAATAATAATATCATGGTTTAAACAAAACATAATAACATTTTAAATTTGATTACTTAAGACGTCTTTTGCGGTACTATTTATGCAAACAGCTGACCACCGCACATTTGAATCGATACATAAAACATGAATGTAGCTACTATAAAATAACAATTCTAGAGGAACCAACTGTGCGAAATAAAACGTCTCAATAATGGCCAGTGTTTGAAGTTGGGGATTTAATTATTGACAGTGGTCTTCTGTGTTGTTGAAGCTGAAGATTAAAGAATTACGTTCCTTCGAAACCTTGATAACCACCTATAAAACACACGGCATCACAACCAAGATCATCTTTACTGCACAGAAAAGCAACAAAACTCAGGTATTGTAATCCTTTGATTTTGTCATTATTGGTTTTCCTGCGTAATGGTACTCATTGATTGCCAAACCGAAAGCAAACATAACCTATTCAGTTATGTAAAATTGTCTTAAAAGCTGCTACTAGTAGCTGCAATTGATAGGTGTAAGTCATGATGCTCCTTATTCATTAATTGTCCTACAGGGATAATTTTAGGATTTGTATACACAACAGTCCCTTATTTTAGTGCCTTTGCCAATTGGTGCATGGTCTGATAATACAGTTCCATATTTGAGGAGGCTTGATATACTGACCTGAATATACAAAATGGGCCGACCGGTATAATCTTTCCTTTTCTGACAGTTGTTTTCATCACTTGAATGAGGAACAAGGCAGAATTTTTATGATGAAATCTCTAGGAGAGCAGTTGGATGACCTGAAATGGGTTGATATATTGCATTGAAGGGGAATATGTTTACAACTGAAATGACTCATGATAATGTCCATTGACATTGGCTGAGTGGGCTGTATTAATTCCATTACCATAAACTTAATGAATTCCTCTCCATCGGCTATAACATGTCATGAAAATCCGGCAGTTCAAGTTACATTGTCTTCATTGATAAGTAAACTGATGCCACACTTAGAGTTGTCAATGTCACAGTAAAATTCACATTCTATATTGAAAAAAATAGGATGAGTGACACCTCTCTCTCCCCTTCAAGGGACCAGGTATTAATTATTGGACATTTGGTATGTTAAAACAAATATTACAACAAAGACCATGTGAAAATGCACATATACAAAATAGATAATTTATTTTATCACAATTCAATTACATACAATATAAATACAAAAATAATACTATAATTAGAAGTGACAGTTCCCAATGTAATATTTACTTTATAGAGTTGACCTTGAATGAAAATTGTCAAGATAAAATGATAACTTTTGTATTGTTCTATAACCTGGCTACTTGGTAATCTAATAGGGAATTATCAGACATTTTCCTTAAAACAATTTAAACATATATTAAAATTATGCAGAAAATTATGCAGTTGGCCTACCTGTCCAACCAAAAAATCATTGCATAGCACACAAAATTGCCAATTCTGTACATGTCTTCAAATAATAAATTTATAATATTTGTCAGGTGTTACACAATTCCTGTTCATCTGTATCTGATTTGCAATTGACAGCAAACATGTTTTGACTCCAATGCAACATATGCAGAAAACTATATACCTTAATGATAAATTTTGGCATAAAAATGAAATCAGCGCTACAGATGAAAAGCAGAACATGTGAACAGAATTGTTGTTGCATTAGGTGTTGCACTACATTGAGAAGAACACACTAACAAGTATAAAAATACAACTGCACTTCCAGAATCACTTTTAAATACAAAATTGCAGACGTGACAGTCCTTCCATTATTGGAAATGCTATGTAAGGAACACATGGCAAGAATTACATTTTCCAGATTAAAGGTGTAAGTTTTTTTTGAGGAAGATAGTATTTGGCAAAGGTACATTAATGCAATCACCTTTTCTTTCCTGTGCAAAATATTTGCTGAAAACCAGTGTTACTGGTTTCGCAGCTTCTGGTTAAGGAAGAACTGTATTTTGCTCATTACTGGCATGACTTCACCTAGAAACTTCACAGAAATGTAACTATTACAGATTGTAATACCACATTTTGACAATTAAATATGACAATTTAAATTTAACTAAAAAACTACAAAATGTTAAGTTAGTTCACATTTTAACATGCATTGTAATTTACAATATAAATATAATTTCTGCTTTGTGCGTATATTCATCACAGAATAATAGCAATAATAATATATAAATTAACATTGAGTACATTAAGAAAAACAAGGTCTGGAATGTTTAATAGCAAATTCAAAAGATCTGCATTGTAAGTAATATTTCCACATCATAGGAGCTGAACTGATAATGTTCAAACTTATTTTTAAGGAACTTATCATTACAGGAAAAAAAATATCACCCCTCAACTTTAACAAAGGAAGGTTAGTTCTCTGCATTGCATTATGATTAATAACAATAACAATGCTCTTAAAACAAATGTGACAGTATCTTTCTTCAAACTGAGTTCTTGCTAAAGTTACAGCATTTAAAAAGAAACGGTGCTCATTTACCACATGCGACTCAAACTGAGCCTAATGCCCACATTGTGATTCATTTCAATGTGGTGTATGTTTTTTCCAAAGGCCAATTT